GATTATAACTGTAACAGGTAATCTATAAATAAATAAAAAGAAAAGCAAAAAGCAAAGAAAAAATATAAAAAGGTTGTTGGTATACAAGGATTTAGTAAGAAAACAAAAAAGGAAGGAATATAAGAAAAAATATATTTTTATCTAAAAAAGAAATCTTATATGGTACATTCCTGCCCTATAATAAATAGTTATGAGAATTTTTAAAAAGGGGGTTAAAGAACAAAAATAAAATAGTATAAACGTGCCAAAAATGGTATGAGAAAAGTTTATAAGAAAAAGAAAAAATATATGCAGAAAAAATTCTATAAACAATCTAGGCATAATAAAGTCTTTTCTGGATACAAGTCTCCAAACATTTTTGGATTTCTCTTCAAATTTTATATAGAATTTACTTAAGTGCCTAGTTCAAATTATAGTCTAAAAACAATCTGTCAGGTTATCATTATAGTCCAGAAATACATTAAAAACTCCAAAGGCTGGTACTTGTAATAAAGCTGCAGAAATTAAAGTTTATCATTTAAGTTATGTTAATAACTTTGGGCCTTGTAGCTTTTGTACAAAAAGGTAATCAGCCACTGCCTACAATTGTCAAAATGTAGGCCTGACTTTATTCCTTTTATTGAGCTAGAATCCAGTAATTTCATGCCCACATAACAGTCATGCAAGAATTCCAGTCAGTGCCAGCAAACAAATCTGGACGCCTCAAGATAGACAGGGAGAGATTTTCAATCTCGGCTAGGCAAGACTGCGCCCATTATCAGCTCTGAAGAAATTACAGAAGATGGACCTTCACCCCTCAGCACCCCAAATGGTTATGGAATTGAAAAATGTCTAAAGAATAAAGATTGAGGCAGGGTAGCTAGTACAGGCTAGACATAAATGAATTTCCTATAGGTAGGTTTTAAAAGGCACTCAAACGTTTCTACTGCAGGCCAAGTGGCAACCTATCCCACCCATTAGCAAATCCAGGGAAAACTCCATCAGATGTAGAACTAGGACGTACAATCTTTCGATTCGTGGTCTAGCATAATAATCACTAGAAATCCTTTGGAGACACGAGTAAACTAAACACAGGTATTTGGTATTGCATCACTCAGGATCCAAGTCCCTGAAATGGAATTTGTTAAACCTTTGAAATTGTCTAACAGTAGGCCTTTTCCCACACCTCTGAAAGAAAGGGGGCCACAAACATAAATGCTCATAAGAAAATGTGTTGTCCATTTGGAACAAATTTTTTTTTTTTTTGAGTTGGAATCTCACTGTCGCCCAGACTGGAGTGCAGTGGCCGCTCCTGGCCACCGCAGCCTCGACCTATTGGGCTCTGGAGATCCTTCCACCTCAGCCTTCCGAGTAGCTGGAACTGCAGGCACGTGCTACCACGCCCGGCTAATTTTTAAATTTATTGTAGAGATGAGGTCTTGCCAAGTTGCCCAGGAGGGTCTCGAACCGCGGGCTCAGGCAATCCACTCACCTCGGCCTCCCAAAGTGCGAGATTACAGGCTGAGCCACTGAGCCCGGCCTGGAACAAATTTTAATCAGTTTATAAGCTTATTTCCCTAGACAATTCTTGGACCAGAAGAAACTCAAACACCCCAGGGAAGTAAGTGCTGCTAAAAATTGAAGGAAGGAAGGGCTCAAGCAACAACTGTAAGAAAAAAAGGACCCTAAGGGTGGTCCTGTTCCTATACTATTCTATAGAATTTAAATACTTAACTTCTCTATCATGATGAAACCCCTCTATGAAGCCTCAAAGGGGGGTGAACAGAAGCCCGTTATGGGAAAAGGCCCCCAAACAGGCCTTTGAATAAAGTAAATAGGCTCCTCGCCTTTTGAAATTCTTTATGAGCGGCCACCCTCTCTTGTTAAGGGCATACAGGAATTAGGAAGTCTTGCCCTAAAACAGCAAATGCAAGCCTCAGGTTCAGTCCTAAATGCCATCCATTGTCAAGTCAGAGAATGATTGCCAATTAGTTTAACTACCGATGCCCATTCTTTTTAGCCAGGTAATATGGTATGGGTAAAAGAATGAAATGTACAACCTCTAAACCTCTGGAGGGGGGCCATTTACTATTTTTTTGTTTACCCTGACCAGTCAAAGTAGCCGAAGTAGTTCCTCGGATTCATTATAGCAGAATAGGATTGGGAGTGCACTGCAGATTCAGCAACACCCCTTAAGGTGACCGTCCATAAAGTCAAAATTTCTCAAGCCCTGCTCTAGAAGCCTGAGGATACTTCAAGCCCTGCTTCAGTCACACACCCGGCGGATTAAGGATTCAGCTTAAGAACTCAGCGGACATTACTGATAAGCCATTGTTTTGCTTTGTCAACCTTTATATTTGCTAAACTGTTTGTCATTTTAATTGCTGTAGAACTGACTTTATTTGCTGTAGAATTAACAGGCTTGTCCCCATTGAGCATGTCAGAAAAGGGTTTCCTAGCATTCCCGTTCTTTCTTATAATAGGAAATGTTCTTGTGCTTTTATGTATTTCTGCCTAATTTGGGTGTTTATCGCTTCCCTCACACACCCAGCATGTACATGTATAGAAACCATCTGGCCAGACTTAAGAGTTTTCCATCATTATTCATCCCAGCCAGGAGTTTGTTGTGGTGGCCAACAAGACCTGTTTGGTATTGGGCATCTGCTTATGCATCTAAATTTTCTCAATGTACTAAAGGGCTATTTTGAACATATGAAAAGGTTACATATGCCCAGCTCCCAGAATTATGAAAAGGCGCATGTACCATAGGAATAATCCAGTCAGGATTTTTCCATCTGCTTAACTCAAGGGGGGATGAACTAGGCATTCCCCTTCATGAAGGCCTCAAAACACGAGATGCTCAATCCCTCAACCAAGTTCCTAGTATAGGAGGGGCCCAGGTTTGAAAAAATAACAAATGGCCACCCCAGAAAATTATAAATACTTATGGCCTAGCCACATGGGCACAAGATAGGAGTCAAAAATGCCGCACGCCTATATATATGTTAAGTCGCATTATCAGGTTACAAACTGTCTGAGAAATTATAACTAATCAAACAGCCATGGTTTTTGAGCTTGCTGCTCAGCAAGAAGCCCAAATGAGCGCAGCTATTTATCAAAACTGCTTAGTTTTAAACTACCTGCTAGCGGAAAAAGAAGTAGTATGTGGTAAATTTAATAGCTCTAACTGCTGTTTGCAAATGGATAATAATGGTAAAGTTATAACTGATATAGCCACCAATGTTAGAAGACTTGCCCATGTCCCGATGCAAAAATGGCAAGGCATAGAAATCGGCAATTAATTTGAAAACATGTTCTCGGGTCTGGGAGGATTTAAGTACATTATTGGATCTGCAGTCCTATTGGTGGGATCCTGTCTTATCCACCCTTGCATAGCCCCAATAATTATGAATGCCATTTCTAAGTTTGTGGAAACAGTTGTTGAATGAAAAACTGCAGCCCATATAATGTGAATGTACCAAACTAAGAATAAGGATGCCTTAAATATATAAAAAATCAAGCATCAAGTGGGGAATGATGTGGCAGAAAGGAGGGTTGGTAGCAGTCAAAGGTATTTCCTTTTGAAAGGCAAGCTGCAAGCTTTAAAGACCCGCCAGGCTCCAGGCAGGTTTTGTCTAAGAAAGGCCAAATGGCCAGAGACTGGCCATTTCATGGAAATGCAAAAGAGTAACTAATTCACAGATTTATCCAAAACCCCTCTTCTAAAGTTGATGGTTTACAACCCTGCAGTTCCTGAAAATCGTTTGTTCTTTGAAAAATCTGATTTTGCTGAGTATAACCTTGTAAGATTCCAAAGGAAATATGTAATCACTCAACACGATCCCCTCCCTTACCTAAACAAGGGTATAAGACCCCACTTCTCCTGTTCTAGGGTGCTCGATTTGGACACATTAGCCCCTTGAAGCCCACTGGGCCGGCCAGCGTAATAAAGTGCCACTTCCTATAATAGCCTCGGTGTCACGATCTCTCTGTCTTCCCACTACAGGCTGGGCGCACAGAGCCTCACCACGGGCCCGCCTCCCATCAGGGTTGGCCTCAGGTCTCGTGCTGTAAGAGAATTCTCCATAAAAAGGAAAATTTCCTAACATAAACCATGTCAGTATGGAAAGACTAGAGGAAGTGCTTTCAGAATGAACTAGCATTTTACCAAAAGCGGAGAGTCAAGCATGAGATGTAGTTGGTCACAGGAAAAGCTCGGCTGGGATGTGCATGAGGAATTAACAGGTCAAGCTGCTGGCACCGCCTTCACCATACAGCTCGCCACATGCGAAGACAGGGCTGGAGGGCCATGCCTCACGTCCATACATAGTCGTCCAGGCAACACAGGCTCCAAGCCACTCCTTCTTTTTGGGTGTCTATTCTGTTCCTCAGATGTAAAAAGCAGGAAGAACGCAAATAATGTCAGTAAAACTGACCTAGAAGATAAAGTTCCTTATAAAATTTATTCTGAAAACTGCACCTGGTTACAATTTTCAGCACAACTCTTCAAACAACAAAAGTTTGGAAGACTATTTTTAAAATGGCTTGTTCGAGGCACGTCCCTGGAGGAAGCATTTCCTGTTGGTGGACTGGAGGTTCCTTCCTGAGGCCTCGCAGAGCCTCACGTCATGGCATGTGACTTGAGCCACGGCCCTCCCTCTGGTGATTCGTGGCCGCCAGCGCCAGCCATTCTGTGCTGGCTGACCAGGTCACCACACGCCTCCATCTGGTTTAAATCTCGCTCCCTTGCTCGTGACGGCAGAGCTGGCAGAGGAGAGCCTAAGCTCTTGTGACATTTCTAATCAGGGAAAGTCCACATCACTGATGGAAGCAACAGGACCACTCTCAGCCATCCCTCCTCCTCCTGGGTCCTTCCCACTCTCTTTCCAAGGTTTCCGTTTCCACCAGTTACTCTCCCAAGTTTCAATCCCTTCTCTCCTCCCGTGGAGACTCTGAAGTTGCTCCAGAAAAGCTGCTCCTCTGCTTTTGTGTCGGAATGTTTGAAACAAAACAAAGGCTCATAACTTCTCACATTTTATTGCACAGGACAAAATGTATTACAATGCATCAAGAAACAACATTTTGTGTTTAGACCAACGCTAACTTCAAATGTTTGGTAGCAGACAACACATTTTCTTTAAATATATTCAACTCAGGGTGAAAGCAAGCCATTTGCTTCAAAGGGTTCAAGTACCTCAGCCGTGGTTTCTCATTGAGCCAAACTGGTTTTCGGAAATGTCTCTCCTCCTCTCGTCTCATCTTGCTGTCTACCTTTCCTCCTCAGACAGTCATAGTGTTACACAGGTGAAAAACAAGCCGCGTAGGAACCACTCACAACATGGGGCTTTACACAGAATACCCAAGAATGTGGCTGCAGCCCCAAGGCAATGTGACCCTACTGACCCTACTATTATCTAGAATAAACTTCTGTACACACTAACTAGTTCAAGTATATCTAGAGCAGTGCTTCTGAAAGTGAGGTCCCTCTGCTAATATGAAGGGCGCCGCTTTGAAGACCACAACTACCTTCCAAAGGCAGAGTTCTAACCATCTTTTTATCTTACAATGCATCATACATTCTCCAGTATTCTAAAATGTTCCAGCGAGCCAAGTGTATACTTGCTTCCCCTGGACGATACGCCTTTTGTGCAGCACCAGAGGGTTAAAGTGGATCTCAGTGCCCTGGTTACCAGTCACAGCTGACCAGGGTTTATTTCTACAGCATCAAATCCAAACTGAAAATGAAGACAATTGGGGTCAAATGCCCTCATTTTTATAATAGATAAGCATTTCATGCACTTCACACGTGAACACCCAGTTGCTCCCTACGTGCAGGTCTCAGTAACAGCTACTCCCTAGGCCAAGACACACGTGGGGGCCCTGAAGCCTAGGCCAGCCGGAGGGGGTTTTCCAGGTTGGCCTTGAAACTCTCGAGGAACCTGGTGGCCAGCTCATCGTCAACCACGCGACTGTCACTTGACATCGTGACGGTGACAAGCTGGTGCTGCTGCAGTCGGATGTTCCCTTCTTCGTCCTCCGTGAGCTTCAGCACAGGTCGCGACCTCCCGACGGCCAGGATGCAGGCTTGTGGGGGGTTGATCACGGCGGTGAACTCGTCGATGCCAAACATGCCCAGGTTGGAAACACTAGGGGAGAAGAGAAAGCTGAGTGGCATGGCCTTACGCGAAGCCCCACTCCCTGAAGCGCACAGCTTCTTTCTCAACTCTACTGAGCCATTCTAGAAGCTGTAGCAGTGACCACCTGAACACTGACTCTACCAGTGCATACACATTCAGCACTGAAGTGGATGGACGAATCGGACAGAGAAGAGGCAAGAAGGAATCTGACGAATAAGCACTGAAAGAAAAACTGCTATGGCAGATGGACTTACTGTATACACAGAAACGTCCAAGGCTCTACAGAAAAAACAGTCCAATAAATAAGTAAATTCAGCTGACTCATCAGATCAAAGGTCAACGGAAAATTAAACTTGTATCTACAGTCAGGGGTCCCACACAACATAGCGGCACCTATCAGCAGTTATGCTGGGGAAGTCAGCACCAAAGAATACACAGCATCTGTCATCTTTCTTTTGGGGGGTCAGAACCTAAAAAATACAAGCATGTGTCACCTCATGCTTATCACTGTGTACTCAGAAGGACCTCCAGTTCAACATGCATGGGTCCTACCAGTTGTGAAGTGAAAGCCTGGCTAGCCAGAGTCATATTTTCACGTGTTCTGTTGTGTCAGTAAAATGTGTGACCTTTCCTTTAAACTTAAAAGATATTTTAGGTAAATAAATCAGACAGGTAGACCTGGACCAAGTCTTGTCTCTGTTTCAGGCTACTCATAAGTTAAGAGTTTAAATTTTACCTAAAAGATCCTCCTTGGTATTCTTCAGGTAACAGCTTTCCATCTCTTGCTTTCTTTGACAGAGCCTGAGCAAGACACAAATACAGCATGACAACCGGCAGTGTTGCAGTCACCTTCTCACCTGAGACGTCTGTACACACATATTCCCATGTGTGGTGTGTCTTGATTTGACTTAGAGTTACACATAAACATATCTTCTCTAATAAAACTGTAAGAACAAAGAAGAACACAGATAATCAAAGAAGCTACAGATGTTAATCCTGACTCCAGAAAAGTCACCTCCTTCAAACACTTTTCAAATTCAGAATTACCCAGCGCACCCCCACAGTGCACAATGCTTCAGCATCTTCTGTACACACAATGCAACTTCCTATTTCACCGTCACAATTTTTTCTTGTAAGATAAAATACGAGAAGCTATTCTTATCAGTCTAGTGGCTTTTAAACAAATTATCCAACGTAACCCAAGGTATGTGCCCAACCCCACAACCATAGGCCAGTCTCACACCTCACAGCTGGCTTTACCTTTATCCACAACACACACATGTACATACAGCCTCAGGCAATGGCAAACAGTGGAACTGTAGGCCGGGCATAGTGGCTCACACCTGTCATCCCAGCACTTTGGGAGGCTGAGGCGAGAAGACTGCCTGAGCTCAGGAGTTTGAGACCAGCCTGAACAACATGGTGAGACCTTATCTCTACAATAAATAAAAAAAATTAGCCGGGCGTGGCAGCAAACACCTGTGGCTCCAGCTACTTGGCAGTCTGAGGTGGAAGGATTGCCTGAGCCCAGCAGGTCAAGGCTGTGGTGGCTGTGAGCATGCCACTGCACTCCAGCCTGGGCAATAGAGTGGAACTGTATAATTCACTTCTCAATGGTTTATGTGTCTTCTGTGTTGTTAGTGTTTATAAGTCATTTTTAAAATATCTACTTACCATTTCAAAGAGTGCATAGGCTATAATTTACTTAGTCGTTTTCTCAATGTTAGTTTAATCAGTGATTTCTTCTGAATTATCTCAATGTCCAGAAGTGGAATTAAGAGTGTTCTGGGGAGTAGACCTGACTAAAACATTTCCTGAATGAGCTAATCCATGTTTGATACACTTCCACAAGGAATCTAAGAATGTACTAGTATCATTTCACTCTTAACAATACCAATCTCTGGAAACCTACAGAGCTGAGACAGATGACACGGGGAAAGGCAGAGGTGGTGTTCAATGTCAGGTTGATTAAAAACAAAAGGTAGTGAACGTTTCCTCACTTGCACTTGGGATTAAACACCCTTCTGTCCTTTTATTTTCCAATGCTTCAAAAGCAAGGAAACAGAGTTATCTTATGTGAAAGAAGTAATTGTGAATTATTTTATGAGAGGAATTAATTTATAGAGGAAAATGAAGCTACTGTCATTTGGGTAGATAAAGTAAATCTGGGGCATAGTTAATATTTTGTATCACATAGCTAACATAGGCACGGTTACAATCACAGTTGATAAGTACTTAATTTTAAACCAGAGATAATTTAATTTTTGAAAACTCAAGCGTTATTTTAAAATCTCAAAACTCCAGGAATCGGGCAGCCCCTTTGGGTCCCCTCCCACTGTGGGAGGTTTTCTGCCCTCTCAATAAATCCTGCTTTCTCAAAAAAACAAAAAACTCTAGGGATGACCTCAACACATCATCATGACTCATTGGCAACTGAAGTGATTTCAGACTCAGGAGTTGGACGCAGCTACTGAAAATCTTTGGATCACAGTGAAAAGAAGGTGATCTTGACTTGCACAGTCCTTGAACTCTCTAGAGAGAGACAAAATAGCAGTGCCTCTTTCCCGCTTTCAGCGATTGAAGTGCGCATGTGATATGAACAGACACGAATCATATGCACCCCGAACAGCAGACATCTCAAGACATCCTGATGAATTACCAGGCTACAACAATGAAAACAAAATCCGAGAACCCGCTGCAAGCACACACACCACACCGCCCTAATCAGAGCAGCGGCACATCCTGTCCATGAACTCTTGAGAGAGTCTGGAGTCCAATCTGAGGAGGCCCGCTGGTACTGAAAACGTGTAATTCTCACTGGGATCTCCTGGCAGTGTGAACCTGAAATCGAAGCGCATGATACCTGAAGCGTCCAGCTGGAAAGATGTAATACAAAGCGACTAGCAAATGTCTCTACAATACATTACATTGCTTTGCTAATTCATTTAAAAAAAAATTGATGGGTGCCCGTGTGGTAACATTGCCTCTGCCTTTTCATACTGCTGTAAGGAACGAGGCATTAAGGAGAGCATGGGCTGCAACACTCGTGACCTCATTACTTCCTTTGGGGAGGACTGACACCAGCGTGGCAGGGCATGCGTGAACCTCACACACTAACATTGCTGGGTTCCTGTGGGTTGAGGGGTGATTACGTGGTATGGGTATTCTTTTTTTTGTTTTGAGTTGGAGTCTCACTCTGTCACCCAGACTGGAGTGCAGTGGCCGCTCCCGGCCACCGCAGCCTCGACCTGCTGGGCTCCAGCGATCCTTCCACCTCAGCCTTCCAAGTAGCCGGAATTACAGGCATGCGCTACCACACTTGGCTGATTTTTTTTTTGATTTATTGTAGAGATGAGGTCTTGCTGCCCAGGCCGGTCTCGAACCCGTGGGCTCAGGCAATCCACTGACCTCAGCCTCCCAAAGGCACGGGATTACAGGCTGAGCCACCAAACCCAGCTAGTATGGGTATTCTTAACAGGGGGTTCATGGGCAAATGTGCAGAGAACCAGAAACCCTTGAAAAACTAATTCCACTAAACCATTGTTACAGAAAATTAAAAAAAACACAAATTCACTGAATGACTGATAAATTCGAAGCACTCTTCCACGATCAGGTAAACCACATCAGACAGCTGGCATTAGACTGCAGAGACACAGTAAAGGCCAACAAGCAAGAAGCGAGGCCGTGTCAAAGAGTAGAAAATGCACAAAGACAACAGCGTGATGGGGCCAAGCACCAGAAGCATCTTCACGGTTGGAGCCAGAAGGTCTGGGAAGCTGCAACTGGAATGAGAAGGCAGTGAGGCGGGAAGTGTGTCCTGGGAGGCCTGTGGCCGGGAGCCCCGGGAGCCCTGCCTGCTCACAGTCTGCAACCGTCCCACCCGCCTGTCTGCTAAAGCCACTCCTCACAGCCCTGCCAGAGCTTTACTCCCAACTCCACGGGTGTATCCCTCCTCAGCTCTCTTCACCTGGTCACATACCTCATCCCCTCATCTGCAGGGCCCTGCCGTGGGTGCCTGCAACGGAGACCAGGACCCAACTTGATGGGCATGGTTCTGAGCCATGCAAGGACGCTTGGCCAGAGACAACTGCAAATGTGATGGAGTCCCCCAAGGTGGTGGCGAGCTGAGAAGGCCATGCCCGAGGGTGCTGGGCACAGGAGCCTGCTGCTTTGTGGGGGGGGCCGCCATGCTATTTAGGTGTGTGGAAGCATGGGGTGACGCTCCCACAGCGACAAAGACACCCAATGCTGCCTTCCTCAGAGTGGATCTCTGGCATTAGGTGACGCAGGCCTGTACTGTCTGACCCTATGACAAGGATTTATGTATGAACTAGGCACAGAAAGAGATCCGCAACAATAACTACAGTAAAATAGATAACTATAACAGGATACCAATCACACGAATATGGTCTCTCGCTCTCAAAACGCCCTGGACCATCCTCAACTATTTTCAGCCCACGGCGGAGCACAGGTAATGGAAGCCATGGTAAGTAAAACCCTGGGGAAGGGGGAGCTGATACTGTATCTCAGCTCCTGAATTGGAAGGGTGGTCTCTCAGGCATGGAGCACCAACACCCTCACGCCCTCTCCTCCACCTGGCGAGTCTGCTGGCCGCAGTGAACCTGGTGGAACTCCTGCGTCTTTTGCTACTCTTGACATGTTTTCAAAGACCACGAGCTGCTTTTCAAACACCTTTTTGAGAGGAACCTGCTTCTAGATGGATGCTGAACTGACCATTGAGTCACCAATGGTTCTATCACTGGTGAGAGCCCCAAAGTTCAGAGTGTGGGCCAGGCCTAGTCGACAGCCTCACTTCTGGGTTCAAACACAAACGACACCACTCAGTAGGTCTAGGGCCTTCATCTCATCTTCCCTATCAGTTTCTCCATCAACCGGATCAAAGTAGGATCTTGTACTCGGTAGGGCAGTTTTAAAGAGGATTTAAAAAGTTAACATATGCAAAAGACTTACAACAGCAGCTGGTCAGAGTAGGCCAGTTCCACTACTATGGCCGCCAAGGCCATGAACTGACAGCTACTTCCCAGAGTTGTTGACACGAGGACTCAAATATGACATTCCTATGTGAATCTGCCACATTATCCTACTGGGCCTGGAGCAGATGTTATGCCTGGAATTAAAATCATTCTGCATTTCCTCTTCAAACAGATAAACGTTACACTTTTTAATCAGCTGCAGCACAAAGCTTGACACAGATATACTGAACAGATTCAAACAGTATAAAAACAGCACTCTTCTGTAAATGGGACTCTACTGTCTACCCTTCTTGGAGGACAGGGTCCAACACAAGGACTTTGAAGCACAGGAGAGCAAATGCGTTCATCACCAAAGAAGACCCACACCTGCACCTGGACTGCCAGGCAGAACACAGTTCGACATAATTTTGCTTAATTTGGAACTAAGTCAAAACCTGCCATGGACATGAAGGAGATATCCCCTCCCTGAGTTCCCAGTTGGTGCATAAAAATGCTTAACACCTGCCTGTCCACGCAGGCAATGCAACCATCCTGGCAGACCATCTGAATGCCTTGTTTTTAAGTCAGTCTAAACATCACCACCCAAGATTCAAGTTTTAAAATCATCACACATCTTCCACACCACTTCAGCAAGAAACTCATTTTGCAGGCGTTCAGCTCTCTCCCTCCCTCACACACACACACATGCATACCTGTGCCCTTAAAGAGAGCTTGGTCACACTGGACAGGCCATGCGAGGTGCCTGCTTCTTATGAGGGTCCTCTGTGGCCCTCAGACCCCTGTTCTTCCCGAACAGACCAAAGCGGTTACATTCACAGAGGTTGTCACATATGCACCCAGTGACCACCGGCCTGGATGAAAGACCTGTCCAGCAAGAGTCCTGCCTACAGGGGAGTACTTGGTGGACCAAGCCCACTCCTCCCTTCTGGAGAGTGTGAAGGAGAAAATGGCCAAGTGTGGCAGGAAGAGGAAGACAGGGCAGGAGAAAAGGAAGCAGGACAAGGGAGGGGACAGCGCGCGGAGCTCAGGAGGCACAGGATCTGCCTGCAACCCCACTCCCACAGCCTCTGTTCCTCTTCACCGCCCCCCCTGAAAACTCAGAGAGGCTGTAGCTCAGTCCCACAGCCTCATGGGAGTTCAGGTTCCCAGTGTGGCGACTAGGATGGAAAGATGCGCTCAGCCCGTGCCTGGCGTCCTGAGAACAAGGAGGTGTGCTGGTCACAGACAGCAGGCTGGGAGAGCAGCCGGGCCCCGCCCCCTGGGGAACCCACTGGGAGGAACAGGACACACACAGGGCCACCTTGGCCTCTCCAGGGCTACTGACCACCCGAGATTGCACTGGCATCCTCCTAGCTCTCTGTGGCAGGGAAGTGGGATCGGAGGAGACCGACATGGCACCTGGGGAACCAGTCCACGTAGGGACAGATGGCGAAGTGCAGAGTTGAAGGCTCTCCTGAACAGCTGACTCAAAACGATGGCCATCAAAAGAAGGATACTCTAGCTCGCTTGTTAAGTCCCAGAACGACTATACTGACAGCATCTCATACTTTAAGGTTGATCCAACAGTTGATCTCACTGGGCTTTTACAAGTCACTGAGATATATTTACAAATGTGCACACTTTGCCGCTGCGGAAATCCCTGGACTTTTGATGACCTCTAATTCTAGAAGTCTAAGTTAGCTCAACATTTCAAGGTAGTGGCTGAAGCCAGACTAACCGGCATTCATTCAGGTCCACACAGTCACACACGAAAGTGCCCTAAGAAGCCCTGCCTTCTCCTTTTAACCTCCTTTGCAACTTGTTCCCTCAGTAAGTAGAAAAGAATCACTCACCCAAACCAATTTGAAATCCTCAATGTAAGCCCTCAAAACCTGGGTTATTTCCGCCAAAACGACTCCTGGAAGCTCCCAGGCTGTGGAGCTGACCACTCCCCTGGGCTTCTGCCACGCAATGTACTTTTTTGGTTAAATTAGATTCCTCCATACAGAAGCTATGAAAACTGCTTTTCAAGAAACCCAGAAAAAACACAGTACCTTTGCCTCTGGAATGCTAAGTACTTTTAATGTTCTCAGTTTTAGGGAGGACATGAATGAAATGCACTTTCTTTAAGAATGAAATGCGTAACACTGAGATTTATGCATTGCTGCTTTCATAGAAACAGTTTCACCTTATTTCAACTCTGCAACCTCTCTGAAATAGCATGTTTAGGGTGGAATTTTGGGCTGCGGAAAATAAAGCTTGTCGTTAACCTGAGTAAAACTGCTCCCTCATTACCTATATGCTATTTCTGAATTTTTGAACATTACCTTTTCTTAGAATGGGTCATACCTGTATAAAAACTTTAAAACCTACATACAGCTAATAATCACTTGAAATAACACTCTGTCCACCAAAAAACCCGATGTGACCAGCTCCTGTCAAGACCCTACCAGAAAGTCATCACCTGGAAGTATTTCCAGCAACCTGTAAGTGCAGTACTGCCTAGGACATACCTTCACAGAGTCCGAGATTTCCTGCAGCCCCTTGGCGGCCGCATCTTTTATGATTGGTGTGATCAGGCCTTTATCTGTGGCCACAGCCACTGAAATGTCGATGAAGGGCAGGGGCCTGGGGCCGTCTCCATCCCAGCTGACGTTGACACCTGGCATTTGCTGGGAACAGAAAACATGTCACTAGCAAAGCAGCTGTAGACTAAGGTGGTACAGAACAACAATCACGATTATTATGCACTGTCCACAGGGAATACAGCTAGACACAAGAAAATACACAGATATTTGGTTTAAAAAAGTGATGTGATTTCTGTGCCATCTGTCTTCAGTGTCTGGGAAGAACAACCAGCACACCACCTCCTGAAGCAGCTTCAGGAAGTCCAGAGGACAGATTTGTTTTCACCTCATCATCCCTTCGGAGGAAGGAAGTCCAGCTGTCTAGCCTGTTGCTAGGATTCACACCATCAGCCTCAAGGGGAACTCCCCACGTAAGGGATCTCGCAGGCTCCACAAACACCACACACCACACGTGAACACACACACACTTGACACTTGTCTGGGAAGAACAACCAGCACACCACCTTCTGAACACCACACACCACACGTGAACACACACACACTTGACATACTCAGTGTTGCACCGAGGATGAACACTTCGGGTGAAATGACCAAGTACCTGGAAACAGCATGTATTGATAAGGTTGCCAAAAGCCACAGGGGAAAAGAGTGTCAAAAACTAGAAAGTAGAAACTAATTTCTCTTTCTAAAGCTCTTTGTGTTCTAGAGTGACCCAGGTCCCAGCAAGCCACGACAGCAGGCACAAGCTTGAGTCCTCACCACCCACCCATCCCATGTCGTATGACTGCACCCCTGGAGGGATTTTTCGAAGCTCTGGCCTCTCCTTGCCACACCCACTTCCCCTCCAAAGAGACCTTCCCACCACTTTCAACTGCTCTTTCCATTTTCCCATCATTCAAGGCTCAGCTGCTCCATTCATTCAGCAATGTCAGTATGTCAAAAGAGTAAACAATAAAGTCTCAATTCCTCAGACAATTTAAAATTTGTCAGGCACAGAGGCTCACATCTGTCATCCTAGCACTTTGGAATGCCGAGGTGAGAGGATTGCCTGAGTCCAGGGGTTCGAGACCAGCTTGGGAAACTTGGTAAGACCTCATCTCTACAATAAATCAAAAAATTAGCCATGCATGGTGGCCTGCACCTGTGGTTCCAGCTTCTTGGAAGGCTGAGGTGGAAGGATCACCTGAGCCCAGCAGGGTCAGGCTGCGGTGGCCATGAGTGTGCCACTGTACTCCAGTCTGGGAAACAGAGTGAGATTCCTAACAACAATCTAAACTAAAAAAAAAAAAAGAATTATTCATAGACAACACTAAAGTAAGAGAGAAGGGGGAAGGAGGGGTTAGGGTCAGAAACTACATACGGGGCACGATGCTCACATCAGGGGAATGGATCACCTGAGAAGCAATCCTCACCACTATACAACATGTTCGTGTAATGAGCATGCATGTGCACCCCCGAATCTAAAAAAGAAATAAAATAGAATAATAAAGAGAGAAACAAAAAACCGTAAACATCATGAATACAGACTACCTGGCAAGTAAATTTAAGTACAAAGCTACATAATAAGCCCTACAGGAGATGATCTAAGGTGTGTTCACAGGAAAACCCATAATCTCAAGCCTCATTGATTAAAAAAGAGAGACATGAATTACACATTCAGGTCTTTTAATCACATATTTCTAGCCAAAACAAACCTAAGGAAAAAAGAAAGGAAACACACACCCAAGCAGCGTGGGCTGAGAACCCAGGTCCGCGACCCCAGAAGCAAGGCCGAGTGGGCCCCAGCCCTGAAGATGTTGAAACTGTCAAAGAAACAAACTCAAAGAACTCTTGGTGCACGTGTTTTGGAATCAGATTAAAAGTGGTTTTCTGGGAAAATGTTACCTTCCAAATTGATCCAAGAAAAAGCTAAAAATTAAACATATTCGTAATTATGGGGGGAATAATAGGAAAGCTGCCAAGATCCCCTCCTCGAAGTAGAAATAGATTCAGGTATTTTTACCAGTGAAGTCTATAAAGTTACAGGAAATAAAAATCCTTTAGTATTGAAGTGAACACAGAGAAACAGAAATGTGAATTCCTTTAGTGAAGTCAATAATATTTTTTAAAAGGTCTGATAAAGCTAGCACAAAACTTACATTCTAACTACTTATGGCTCCAGACACAAAACAAAAATAATACACAATAATATTAACTGCTGAGGGCCACTAGCAACTCATTTAAGGAGTACAAAGATGATACACAATTAGAAAACCATTAATATAATCCAAAATATTTGGTCAAAGGGAAAGTCTTATAAACAGCCAGACATGCTGAGAAGGCATAGCTTCCAAGCTCTGTAACAGTGATTTTTCAAGAAACAGAAACAGAAACAGTCATGGTGGACATGCTTCACACGCACTGCTGCTAATGGCAGCAATTCCAAAAGCAGTTCATGGCAGAGGGCAGGGGATGGGGGCTCCAGACTTAGCTCCAGGGATACCCCCACGGCCAAAAGCTCGTGCCCCTGCCTTCCTGCCACTTCACTGGGCACCTCCAGGCTCCTGGGGCTTCCTGTGGCCAGCAGTGAATGACACTCATGCCGCAGGCCACTCCTGTCCCTCCCCGGTTTGGTCCATGGAGCACCCCCAACCTGGAGCCTCCCCCCCCACACCCCAGTGTCAGCACACCTGCCGGTTCTGCTCAGACACACGACCAACTCTCCACTCGACCCAGCTTCCCGCCACTGCCGGCAGGGCCACTGTCACCCTCCACAGTCCCATGGCAGGCCCCACTACCTCACTCAGCACCCCAGCAGTCCCTCCCATCAAGTCCAAGTCATGTCACCTGAGCCCTTGGCTCAAAACCCCACAGAGGTGATTCCTCAGCCTTCAGCTCTTCCTTTCCATCCTCCCCCCGAGGCCTCCGGTGCTCTGGCCTCCCTTTCCTCCTCTCTGAAGCCTTCTGTGCTCTGACGTCCTGTCTCTTCCTCCCCAAGGCCTCCTCTGCTCTGGCCCCCTTATCCTCCTCCCCAGGCCTCCTGTGTGCTGACCTCCCAGCTCCTCCTCCTTTTTAAACTTCATCTCCCACCCTCTTCCTTCTTCCTAACTCCTCTCTCGAGGAGCTCCACCCTCAGGGCCATGACTCTGATGAGCCCCCTGGCAGCGGGTTGCCTGCAGTCCCTGTATGGAACTTTGGGCTCGCCTCTCTTTCCTCCGGCTGCTTTCCATCCCACCTGGTCAGGAACTTCACTGGTCTCACGTCTGGAAAAGGCCCCGCTCACTCTGGCCCTGGCGCCTTTCTCCTCTGCTCTTTCACACCTGACGTGCCTGTGTCTCCCCAGCTGGAGTGAGAGCAGAAATCCCTGGGCCTCCGCTGGCTGCTGCCTCTCTCAGCCGAGACTGGCCTTAGTGAAGACGGCATCAGTCAGCGTTGGTGGAGAAACGGCGCCTGCTCTGTGCCAGTTCATGGGGAGCCCTTTAGAGTCACGGTGTCTTCATGTGTGAAACAAGAAAGTGAGGGTGACTGACAGGATATTTTTACTGACAAAATTATAACATTTTTGTGACTTAAAAGCAAGCATTCTATTTATCATTATAGACATTCCAAGATATGAAACTACTTGAGAAGCCGAAATTACCTGAAGTTTTGCTACTTACTTTAAGAGTAACAGCTGCTGCCTTGATGATGAAATCATTTACTGACACTTTAATGTCATCTGAAAGACACAGAAACACAGCAGGGTCAGTATTCTGACACAACTTTAACCCTGAGCACTGTGATGTCAGACTCGTGCGTCAGCAGTGACCAGGACTGTACTCGCTCGTTCAAGGTGGTTCCCGTGATTATCAGAGCCTGCATTTATGCACTCCTGGATGCTTAATATTAGTCCTGAATGTAGTTTCCTTTTGGGCCTCAGAATTTTTTAAAACTGCTCAGATAACACACACGAGAACCTGAAGGAAACATCACAAGCACCAGAAAGAGGAGACCCAACCCCCACGTCTCCAGAAACACAAGTGGTCTCTGGTGTGTGCCGCCAAAGCTTAAAGGAAATGCCCTTGTTCCCTGCATGTTTTATAATAACCCGATTACAACAGTGCAGGGGTGCATGGAGGCACTCTACACAAGCAATTGTATGTATACATGGGGGGACTGTGCACAAATTTATTTTTACTACGGGGGTGTATGTAGAAAAACCTGCAGACCATGGTACTGAACGAGAGCTGCTTTTTAACTTAACAAACCGGAGATGCCAAGCCCCTAGGACGCAGCAGTGCCGCACAGGTCCCAGAGCGACGAGTGACGTGCCGTCCCCGTCTGGTTTTCCGACAAATACGCTTGGGTCAACTTCCTTTCAGCACACGTAATGAGTTGAAGATAAAGCTGGGGTCCCCCTGCTCCCCACAGAGCTGGTCATCACGAAATCATCTGATTTATACCTCTGCTTTTGCCAGTGGTATGAAAGTGATGGAAAATGGAAATCACACTTCTTTTGGCGAGAGCTTCTAGAAAAAGGTTTTCCGGCGAGGATCCAGTCAGAGGCATGCAGAAGGAAGCACATATGCTGTGACTGAAGCATCACGGGACTTAATGTGACAGCTCAGTCCAAAGGCACGCTGGGAACTCCAGGACGAGATGAGACCAGCGACCACAGACCTGGATCCTGTCAAACTGCCACGGCCACAGTCAGCTGGGCAGCACCAGACACCGTGACATGGAAACATTCCTGTTTGTCTGCTCAAAGCCCCTCGAGGAGCAGAAATATAAGTGGATTTCCAGTGCTTGGAGACTTGTAATGGCAACCGACACAAAACACTGGTGGCAAGAACTCAAGTGTGTGGGCGTGCTATTCCGTGAGCTTCCTCTGCTCACCTCCCGTGGCCCTCAGAGCCCTCCTCACGCTGTCTGCCGTCCACAGATCCCCATGGTGGAGATTTCCCAAGCACCGGCCAGCCAACGATCCCAGACCTGCCTCCCAAGTCACGGTCTCACTCAGGAGCATTCTAGAGCGAGACACTTGGCCCTGTCTTCCACACTAGCAGCTCCCAGGCAGAAACTTTCAGCTCCTGGATTTGGCTCTGAGGAGTATAACGACTCCTCCTGAGAGCTTTACCTCTCAGCCTGGTGTAGTCAAAGCATCAGACCTGTATATCCAACTTCTCTTGTGACGTTTCTACTCACACGCCAACAGTATGTGTAAAGCAGATTTCTTTTCATATTCCTTTATTTTTAACTCTTTATGATGGACATTTTCAAGCACACTAAAAGGATATGTGATGACATTTACTGAGGAGGATAGTTTGTAAGGGAATATCAAATAGTCTCATCTGCATGTTGTCAAGTCACAAATGCAAAGTGTGGAACATACTTGGGCGTGTTATATACCATAACCTCATACATGAAGGAGGGGGAAGACAGACAACGTGGCTCTCTCAAGACTCATGTGGAGACTCTGAATTACAAGGAGCAACCAAGCTGGACCATGCGAGACTCTACATTCATCCATATCTCCATGGACCCATCACTGTTTCCTGCCTCGTGAGAGTAAGACAATGGAAAACCATTCCCACGCCAACCTCTACATCACGAAGGAGCCAGCGTGACCCAAGAACCAGAGAGGCACTTCCTGGGCTGACTTCTTAGACATCTGTCACTTTCCATTTGGTTCCGGAAGCTTTAAAGGCTGCCTAGCATCGTTCTAGGAAATTCTGGAGTCTGCATATAAACCGACTCATTCCAGTCCTGCTCTCACTCAGAAGTAGGGGATGCAAAAGAAGCTGCTCTGCACCAGCAGGGGAGGAGAGGGCAGGATCAACTAAGACCCACACTGCTCTTGAGCCCACTGGGGACTGACTACACAGCAATGGGCGGCTGACCGCCAGAGGGTGACGGCCACTGAGGAGCCAGCGCGGGAGGAGGAGGGCAGAGCACAGGCCGCGATGTGAGCCGGGGAACGTGTAGTGAGAGATGGAAACCACAGAAATGCCCAGACAGAAATCCAGGGGGCAGCCACGCTCAGAAATGAAAAACATGAGTGTCCAGAGAGGAGAATCAGCGAATTCAAAGCCAGGCCAACATGATGTCCAAGCTGAAATCCCAAGGGAAAAAGGAATGAGCAAAAGGAGCAGAGCCCAATGAGCTCCAGATAGTTTAGAAAGCCTCCCATTTATAGTTGAAGGCCCAGGAGATGACAGTGCAGCAGAAGTAATTTAAAAGAACAAGGAAAGACAACAAGCCACAGATCTGTGAAGCTGGGAGAAACCAAAATTTGGGAATACAACAGCAAGAGAAACTGGGCAGGTAAAGCCAAACCACTGATGCAGAAAACCCTGAGGGCAGCCAGAGAGGGTGGAACGCCACACGGGAGTGTCAGGCCACACGGGAAGTGGCAGATACCTGGCAAGTTACAGGAATGGAGGAGCGTCTCCATGGAAAGCTCTGGAGCAAAAGTCTCATTAGCACAAAATTCTATGCCTAGCAAAAATATCCTTTAAAAATGGAGATGCTGAACCCATTAAGAGGACTCCCATCAAAAGAACAGAAACAACAAGCCCAGGCAAAGCTAGGGAGAAACCCGAACCTTGTATGGCTGTGGGAAGGCCAACTGGCAGAGCCAGTACAGAGAACAGGACCCACGCACAGGCAAAGGCACGAAGAGGCATCTGCACGTCCAGTTCATGGCAGTACGGCCTGCCCAAAGGTGAAACAACTCGACAGATCTACCCATGGACAGACGGTGAGAAGATGTGGTCTCCACATGGTGGGGCATGGCCCAGCCTTGGAGGGAGGAAAACAGGCAGGAACCTGAAGACAGCGTCCAAGGGAAAGAAGCCAGTGGCAAAAGAGCAAGCATTCTCTGATCCCACCCACCTGAGGGATGCAGACGCCAATTTTACTTGGATACAAAGCAGAGCGGCAGTTGCCAGGGACGGGGTGTGTGTGCGCGCGCGACATTTACAAGGCCACAAGGCCACAAGGCAAATGGTGGTCGCCAGGGGCTGGGAGGGAGAGTGAATACAGAGGCTTAGTGTTACAGGACACGAAAGCCCTGTGGGTGCGCATGGGTCACGGCTGCGCAATGTGAATGCACTTCGTGCCGAAGATCTAACTGTAGACTTAAAAATCGTTAACATGGAAAAACTTACGTCACCTATATTCAACCACAATTAAACACTGCTTTTTTAGATTGGAAAATACAGTTAGAAAGCAAATTGGGGGGGATTCACCTCCCCAAGGGAGAGGAGGGGGCCAAAGTTAGAAAACATGGTTATGGCCATAGTTCAAAGAGCACATGGCCACACCAGAGTCTAGTAAGGCAATGGCCAAAACATTTTCTTAGAAAAGAAAAAGAACAAATAGACTTTTTCAGACAAAAGCTAAAATAATTTATTGATGTGTGACAGCAGACAGCACTTTGATTCCATACAAAGAAACACAAAAACTATAAATAAATATAAAGAGACACTTTTCTCACTTTAAACATCTTAGCAGAAAGCATTAAACATGTATTCTGTGGCTTACATCATATGTAGAAGTAAAACAGGAAAGCCACAACACAAACTGTGGAAGGGAGGAAAGGTTCTCGCATTAAACACGAGGCGGTGTGACCCAAGTTGAAGGTAGACTGTGGACAATTACGGAATTACTTTGTGAACCCCAAGGAAAACATCACAGAGAGAGAGAACACAGAAGCAAAATGGAATCAGAGCAAAATGTGGAAACGCTACTGACTGTGGACTCCCGAGGCTTTACCGAAATCACTCACCAGGTCTAAGAGTCTTCTGGTGGAATCTTTAGGGTTTTCTAGATTTAGAATCACATCGTCTGCCAAGAGCAATAGTTTGATGTCCTCGTTTCCTACCTGGATATGTTTTTCTTCTTTCTTTAGCCTGATTGCTCTGGCTAAGACTCCCTCAGGACAAAATAACCCAAACAGAGATAAGGAAAGAAGAAAAATGGAAGAAATGGAAGAAGGAAAACAGAAGGAACAAAACAGTGGCTTTGAATCCAACCACAACATTAAATAGGAATGGTCAGAACGCCTGAGTTAAGAGACTGTAGTACTGGAAGAGAAAGCAAAACCCGACCACATGCTGTCTGCAAGAAGCCTGTTTAAGTAAAGACATAGGTCATCAAAAGTAAAAGATGTAGAAAGATGTACTATAAAAACAAATTTTTAAAAATCTGAAGTGGCTAAATCAATACGATAAAAAAGGCTGAGGACAAGGCGCAGCACCAGAACAGATGGAAATGGGATGTGATGACGGGCCTGTCCACCAAGAAAACAGAGGACTCCTCAGCATGTGTGCCTAACAATCAACCTTCGAAATACAGGAAGCAGAACGGACAGCGCTGAAAGGAGAAACACACAGTGCACAACGACAATCAGGAGTTTGACACTCCTCTCCAGGATATGAACAACACCATCAGCCATCTTGACCTAGCTGACACTTACAAAACACTCCCTGCAAAAACGTGGAACATACATTCTTTTTGAGCACAAAAGGAACATTCTCCAAGACAGAACACATTACAAATCTCAACAAATTAAGAAGACTGAAATCATACAAAGTATTTTCTCTAAACAGTTAATAAAAGAGCCTTTCCAAGGAGCCGGCAAGATGGTAGAAGTGGAGCAGAAGAAGAAGAGGACCTTTTGCAAGGTCACCTACCACAGCGTGGACCTGGACCAGCTGCTGGACATGTCCTATGAGCAGCTGATGCAGCTGTACCACGCACGACGGTGGTGGTGGCTGAACTGAGGCCTGCGGCGGAAGCAGCACTTGCTGCTTAAGGGGTTGCGCAAGGCCAAGAAGGAGGCGCCCTCCTTGGAGAAGTCAGAGGTGGTGAAGACACACTGTGCAACATGATCATTGTGCCTGAGATGGCGGGCAGCATGTGGGCGTGTGCAATGGTAAGACCTTCCACCAGGTGGAGACCAAGCCGGAGATGATCAGTTACTACTTGGGCGAGTTCTTCATCACCTACAGGCCTGTAAAGCACGGTCGACCCGGCATCAGTGACACCCCACTCCTCCTGCTTCATTCCACTCAAGTAGTCGCTGCTAACAGACACGCCTGCCTGTTCAGTCAAAAAAAAAAAAATCATAAAAGAAAGATAACTGAATAGCCTTCAAGTATTTGGAAATTAAATTCTCACTTACCATGGATCAAGGAAATCACAAGGGAAGATGGAGAACATTTTGAATTGAATACAAAGAAAAAACAAAACATAGGCAGTGCTTAAAGAGAACTCAGTAGCTGGGCTCGGTGGCTCAGCCTGTAATCCCATGCTTTGGGAGGCTGCGGTGAGTGGATTGTCTAAGCCCATGGGTTCGAGACCCGCCTGGGCAACTTGGCAAGACCTCATCTCTACAATAAATAAAAAAAAAATTAGCCAGGCATGGTAGCGTACACCTGTGGTTCCAGCTACTTGGAAGGCGGAGGCGGAAGGATCACCGGAGCCCAGCAGGTCGAGGTTGCAGTGGCCAGGAGCGGCCACTGCACTCCAGTCTGGGTGACAGAGTGAGACTCCAACTAAAAAAAAAACAAAAAAAAACAAAAAAAAAGAGCACTCAGTATCATATGCTTATGTCAGGGTAAGGTCTCATGTAAATGATCCAGGTTTTCACCTTGAAAAACCAGAAATAAAAGAGCAAATTAAACCCAAAGTAAAAAAGCAAAAAACAAAATAATAAAGTGCAGAAGGTAATTAGACCAATGTCATAGAAATACTAGAGAAAGATAATAAAACCACATGCTGGTTCTTTGAAGAGATCAGAGTGATAAACCTTTAGTCAGACTAATCTAGAAAGTAAAAGAAAATACAAAGTAATGACATCAAAAATAGAATTATCACTTCAGATTACATAGATGTCACAAGTATAATATGGTAATACTGCAAGCAACTTAATGCCGATAAATTTGGAAATTTAAAAGACAAACAAATTCCTTGAAAGACACAAACTACCAATGCTTACCCAAGCATTGGTGTCCATTTTAACAATTAAATTCATAGTTAAAAAGCTTCCCACAAAGAAACTCACTGGTGAATTCCACCAAACAATCAAAAGAGAAATAATACCAACTGTGCCAAACTCTTCTAGAAAATAAAGGAGGAGGAGGCCAAGCTGGCAGGGTGGCTCACACCTGTAATCCCAGCACTTTGAGAGGCTGAGGAGTGAGGGTTGCCTCAGCCCAGGAGCTAGAGATCAGCCTACGCAACATGGCGAGGCCTTGTCGCTATAATACATAGAAAAAATTAGCTAGGTGTGGTGGTGCATACCTGTAGTCCCAGCTACTTGGGAGGCTGAGGCGGAAGGATCACCCAGGCCCAGGAGGTGAGGCTGCGGTGGCCATGATCATTGTGATCATGCCACTGTACTCCAACCTGGGCAACAGAGTGAGACCCTGTCCAAAAATAAATAAATGAAAATAAAAGAGGAGAAAATGTTTCCCAAACTACTCCACTCGATCTGGTAACAAACCAGGAAAAAAACACAAGGAAAGCAAACTACAGGCTAGCATTTCCTATGGGCATAGATGTAGAGAGTCTAACAGAACCTCAGAAATGGAACCTAAAAGTATGAGAGGTGATTAAATGGGTTTCCTCGGTATATGGGGAATGCAAAGTTGACTCCTCATTTGAAAATCAACTGATGTAACTTACCACCGAAACAGACGGAAAAAGGAAAGAAGTCAAGAGACGCACAAAAAGCGCTTGGCAAATTCTGCACCCATTCATGTTTAGAACTCCCAGCAATCAGGGATGGAAATTCTCTCAACCTGAAGGCAATCTACAAAAAACTTACACTCAGTGTTAAAGACTAAATGCTCCCCCGAGATGAAGGCTACAGCAACGCCTGTTTTTACCACTTACATTCATCATTATACTGGAGGTCTTAGTGCAATAAGGCAAGAAAGTAATATAGAAACCATAGAGATTGGAAAAGAAAAAAGCTATCAGTTCATGCTAAAATCTGTATGTCTCTCAGCAACCTTATATATGTTTTTTGGGAGAGACATTACAAATGTAATAACTAGAAGATGCGTTTTGGACATATAAAATTAAAACTTGCAACTTGCATTAAAAAGAATGCTATCTAAGATATATTTATAACTTAAAACATTCTTAAAAGTTTTGGATTTTAAATGTGTGAGAATGTTAAGGATCGCTTTGTTTAAATACCATACTAAAAAATATTTAAAGCAAAAATAACCATCTAGGCTGAGCAAGACGTTCATATGTTCTTACAAAAAATTTACATATGTAAGAGTTAAAGCAAACCAAAAAATTAAGCCTACTACTTTTGCTTTTCAACCAACCAACCAATCAACCAACCAATTAACCAACCCAAACACAGTGCTACAGGACTGAGTATCCCTTATCCAAAATGCAGGGGAACAGAAGTGCCTCGGATCGCCCATGTGCTCAGACTTGGAATATCACATCTGGCAGCCCCAGCCTCCCAACCCGAAATTCGAAATCTGAAAGGCTCTCATGAAAATTTCCTGCGAGTGTCATGAGAAAAGCTTCAAATCTGGGAGCATTTTGAATTTTCGGTTGGGGATGCTCAAACTGTGTTTGCAGAGAATAGGACTCAGGACCATCTGCCAAAGGGATGTCATTCAAACATGACAGAAGGAGGGGTCAAGAGCAAGGTGGAGCAGAGCCCCTCACTTGCAAAAAAGGGAAAACGTCTACGATCCATTCACCACAACAAAGCCACACATTTCTTACAGAAAACTGAACTAAATTCCTTTTCTCGAGCACAAAATATTACCAGAGTAGAGGGAAAGTACATTAGGCAGCTGAAATTGAAGGCTCACAACGTGAGCATCCATGGAAGTGAAGGCCCATGTGCGCTGTATTAAGTCACTTCCCTTTACTGACCTTTGACCAGATCTTGCCTAACTTTCAGGACAGCTCCGAGGTCACAGTCGGCGGTGGCATAGGCGTGAGGTACAGTACTCTTAGATTCAGTTAACCTCTTGGCAATGACTCTTCGAATATTGCTAGCGGGGATTTCAGTGAATGTGCCCTAAAAAAAAAAAAAAAAAAGGCACAATCTGCCCATTCAACCATAAGTAGAATGAGGGGAAAAAACTCCAGAAACAAAGAACCTTCATAAATAAAATTCATTCTCAGTGATCTAATTTATTAATTAAAGATTAATACAAGAATAGCACCATTAAAATTTTTAGTATAAGGGGAATATAAAAAAACTGAGGCGTTTTAGCTTTATAGGATATAACTAACTATAGAAAAAAGTAACAAAATTCATGTTTCAGTTGTGATGGGACATCGTATGTCACTATGCTTAAGATGATTAAAAGGAAATTAATCATTAAGTAATGAATAATTCTCCTATGGATGTGTACATATACATATGTACATATGTACACACACAAATACAAACCATACACACATACCACATATACACTATACACACACGCATGTGCGCACATGCACAGACAGCGAGCCATATACATACCACCCATAAGCAGTTTTTGTTACAAATAACATTAAAGCTCAAATCAGCAATAAATCAACAAATCAACTGCAGATGCGCCTCAATTTACAATCGTCTCGACAATCCATTGTAAGTTGAAAACACTGTTAGCCGAAACGCATTCAGTACGTCTAACCTACTAAGCACCCTGGATTAGCCCAGCCTGCCGTCACAGTGCTCAGAGCACTTCTGTTACTCCACGGTTCCAAAAGTGCCCAGTGACACAGTGCACTGCAGAGCGCCAGCGGTCAGTCTCCGATACAGTGAGAGTTGCAGCTCTCTCCCACACTGCAAGGGAGGGCCGCCCCGCTTCTACCAAACATGGGTCACTCTCACATCATAGAGCTGAAAAGCTGTAAGTGGAACCACCTTTGCAAGGACACATGGAACACTCACCAAGACAGACAACACTACAAATATAAGATCGATCTCAACACATTTAGGAAGACCAAAATCATACAGAGTGTGTTCTCTAAACACAATGGAGTTAAGCTAGAGATGATAAAAGAAAGATACCTGGACTGTCTTCAAATATTTCAAAGTTAAATTCATACTTATAAATAGCTCATGGATCAAAGAAATCACAAGGAAAATGAAAAGGTTGGAGACCTTTTGTGCAGGCAGTTCTTACAAAAACAGCACATGGCAGAAAACGATCATCCAAGATGCCAGACAGTCTGCCAAATTATGTCTGTCTGGATGTGCAATTAAGGAAAATCACACGAGCATCTTATTCCCTAGACTCCTCACAGAAAGCATGAATGAGATCCTAAGACCTGCCGGCAATGTCCCTGCGGCCACTGCAGTGTGCTCCTCGAACCACTCATAGAAGCACCACGGCCCTTCAGTTACATCCGGGCCCCTCCTCAGCCTCACTCTGTCTTGGGATTTCACAACACTCACTTCAGGACTGTGGTTCTAGTGCTTTTCAAATGTTACGCTGAAATGCATTTTCCCATCAGAAATAGCATGTTTATTTATTTTTCTTCTTTTCATTTTTTAATTGCTCAATTTTAAATACACTTGAGCACCTCATGCTGCTTCTGAGAAATAGCCTGAAAGGCACTCAGAAAGGGAGGCGGAGGCAGAATGGAGTCACTTGAAAATACAGAGGTGGTCCTACTGCATGCATTCCAGGAGGAGAGGGAAGTGCCACATGGTTGTAAGGTGCTTCACTGTGACGTGACGTGGTCAGCAAACAGGCCGTATCCTCGACAGGGACGCACTTCAGAAAATGAAGCACGAAGAGTGTCATGATTGCGCGTATGTTAGCGGAGTTGTGGAATTTGAGGCAAGTTCAAGTTGATCATACTTTCAATGATCTATTTGGAAGTCAGTATAGAAACAGACCTGGTTTCTGCTAGGAAGTCTGTTTGGAGTTGTGTCTGTATGGAGTGTCACTTCCGCCACTGCTTAGATCACACTTCCTTTACCATGTTATCTCTTTAGCATGACGCTAGAACAGATCAGTAAACCTGCTCACAAAACATGTGGCAGTTGTTCCTATTTTCTCACTTGCTTAAATCTGTAAAGTAAAAATCAACTCAGAGGACATTACCACGGCTTTGGGCTGTCCAGGAGTGGACAACGGGGGCGTCATCGGCCGGGGATAAGCGAACCCCACTGTGGCCTGCGGGGGGGCTGGAACAGGGGCAGGGACTGCAGGGGTTGGTCGGGACTCTGGAATCTTGCCCGTCTGTTTCAGCTGGACCAGTCTGAGAGCATCCCTGGAGACAGGGGAAGAAGAAAACCATGGTTAGCAGCTAGGAAGAGAAGAGCCTCCAGAAATGCCGGGACGGTATGGAGGGAAGAGATGGATGCCAGGCTATGTTTCCAACCAATTCCTTGAGCTAGAAAATTAAATCCTGTCTCTTACCTGGTCTGTTGATTCCTATCATTTGTCCAATATATAATGTGTGTTCATTTTCAAAAACCTAATAATTAAAACTTTATCAAAGTTGGCTACGGGAAGTGATTGTGGAAAAGGAAATGAGTCTTTTTTCTGTGGGGTGGATGCCCTTTGGTAGGTGAACAATTCACTAGTGAAACCATACCCTCATCCTCCACACTCAAGGACTAATGTTCACATGGCATTCAGAAAGTGTCAAGCTTATTACACCTATGCTTTTGTCAGGATACTTACTAACTTATTGTTTATTCTAGTGCAAATCAGCTTGTCTATGACCAGGAAATAAAGTCATTTTCAATTTCACTCAATATGCTATCAGTACAACCTAAGGGAATGAATCTAACCCACAACCACCATTTAGAGTGAAAGTTAACTAGCTTAGTTACAGACTTGTCTTTGTATTACTCTGTAAAACAAAGGCATCTTTGTTTTGTAAAAGAATATAATTAGATTACTAACTACGCCAAGCCTTCAATTCACTATGCTAAGTCACAGTGGTATATAAGACAACACAGTTTCTTAAGAAAAATAATTTTCGGAAAATGTTAATATCAAACAATTAATTAGAAAGTACTTCTTTCTTTTTTTTTTTTTGAGTTAGAGTCTCACTCTGTCGCCCAGACTGGAGTGCAGTGGCCGCTCCCGGCCACTGTTGTCTCGATCCACTGGGCTCCGGCGATCCTTCCGCCTCAGCCTTCTGAGTACCCTGAATTACAGGTGTGCACTACCATGCCCGGCTGATTTTTTAATTTATTGTAGAGATGAGGTCTTGCCAAGTTGCCCAGGTGGGTCTCAAACCCACGGGTTCAGGCAATCCACTCACCTCGGCCTCCCAAAGCGTGGAATTACAGGCTGAGCCACTGAGCCCAGCTAGAAAGTACTTTTTTCAATTAAAAAATCTGTTTACATAATCTAAAAACAACTTCAGGATGACACACATCTAAAGAAGAAATATTTCTTAAGCACAATTATTATTCTAGTATTGCTTATCAGAAGGTTGATGAGAAGAAAAACCTAGCATCTGGTGAGCATATCTGAGATGGCAATTCTCTCCCCCCAAACAAACCTCGGGCTTGTGGTAACATGGTGGAAGACCCCGCATTCCTGTGCCTGCTATACCCACCCTGTGTCATCAACCACCTTGAGTGTGGTTGGCTGGAACAAGATGGCAGTCACTCCCGTGATTAAGCTATATTCCGTGATAAAGCTGGCGGGAGTTCACAGACACAACTAAAGGTCCAAGTCAGTTGACTTTAACCAAAAGACAACTCATCCTGGGGTCCCAGGCACAGCAGGCAACCCCTAAAAGAAAATGGGCCTTCCTGAAAAGATTTGAATGGAAAGAGATCCCATAGCTGGCCTTGGAGAAGCACAGCCCATTGCGGGCTGCCCACAGAGGACACATGGCAAAGCCCATGATGGCCCAAGGGAGCTGTCAGTGGTTCCTGGCTAGCACGCAAGGACACAGGGTCCACAGTCCTACAGCCCCATGGAACTGAATTCTGCCAACACCTGGGGAGGACGTTGAGCTCCATGTGAGACCCCAGGCATGGCCCATGCCTGAGGTCAGACCCGTGAGCTCAGGAGCTGAGCCCTGATCATATGGTGCTGGGACTGCTGACTGACTGAATTGTTGGGAGAGAAACAGTTGTTTTCGGCTGCTTGTATGCTGTGACCCGTTATGCAGCAACAGAAACTCCACCACGCAGGACACTCTTTCACACTGGGATGCAAAATCCACGTTGTCAGTGCCCAAATATGCTTTTTTCAAGGAGGCTGGGAGGCCAGAGAGACACGTTGCTCTCTCACTCTTACTGTCTTATCTTTTGAGAAAGGAGCTCAGTTGTGTCCCTGAGGTAATTTGGACTCTCGGGTAAAAAGGCACTTAGTGAGGAATAAAAGCAACAGGAGCCACTCATCATAAGGAAGCAAGCAGGAAGCTGATTCCGGCCAAGGTTCCCAGAAAACCCTGACTGCTGACTTCATACCCATAGGCCTCAGGAGATAGCAATGCTAACTACTGTTCAGTAACAGCCAACACTTCAGCTTTTGTAGTGCGGACAAACAATGACTTTAATGGTTTCTGTACATTCAATAGTTAATCAGAATACAATTCAAAGAGGGGGCATTAAAAGGTACAACTAGGAGAAAAACCAGCACCTCCCTCCTCTGTGGAAAGGCAAGGCCGCGGAGGGAGTCCAGTCAGGCAGGGCCTCTCGGCAGGGACCTGCAGGGGTAACTCATGTGGGTGTAACACCAGTCACTGCTGAAAAGAAATGTCCCCAAAACCCACACGATCCCGGCCTGTCAAGCTCACAAGTCTTCCGATGCTGTGACAGAATACTAACAAGAACGAGGACTGAGGCCGGGCTCGGTGGCTCAGCCTGTCATCCCAGCACTTTTGGAGGCCGAGGCGAGTGGACTGCCTGAGCCCGCAGGTTCAAGACCAGCCTGGGCAACTTGGCAAGACCCCGGGTCTACAATAAATAAAAAATTAGCCAGGCATGGTAGCATGTACCTATAGTTTCGGCTACCTGGAAGGCTGAGGTGGAAGGATTGCCGGAGCCCAGCAGGTCAAGGCTAGAGTGGCTGTGAGTGTGCCATGGCACTCCAGCCTGGGCGACAGAGTGAGACTCCAACTCAAAAAAAAAAACTAAGACTGTGACTTAATTCACAGACAGGTTGAACACGTGGCAGCCACAGGCAGACTCCTGCCTCTCACAGCAGCTCACATCACTCACTGGCCAGGTGGAGCCTGCATGTGTGTACTACACGCCTTGTTTTAAGGCAAAACTAAAATGGCAGCCAATGCCTCTGATTTTCCTCGCCGACACCAGAGCCATGTCCTCTGCAGTTGGATGGGTCCCTCTGCCCCCTGTGCTCGGTTGATGAGGCGTGGAGGAAGGACGCCGCCACATGTGCGACCAGGCTGCACCGAGGTTTTCTGAGGCAGCCGTGTCACAGCCTGCGAGGTCTCAACCACATCAGATGACACCAATTCTGTACATGATGCCAGGCTCCATCTCGTTCTAAAACCCACCCTACCATTAACCTAAACATGGGTGTTTCAGTAGTGCATACACGAGTAAAATCCTCCACTACATGTGCTGTACAAAACTGCTTTTCTCACAGACTTCTTTCTTATTTTGGAAAACAAGTGCTGATTCTTTTCTGGCATAGCCAAGCAACAAGGGCAGGGCAGGGGATAGGGCAGTGAGAGGAACGCGGAAGAGCACATAAGGGAGCCCTTGGCGTCTGCCTCCCTGTGGCTTCTGAAGACACTGGTGGCATCAGTCACTGTCAACTCAGGTCTTTAAAACACTGTCAGTGGTCACATGTGAGCTAAGCACACATGGAAGGAGGAGAAAGGGAGGGCGCAGCCTCACTCGATCCCCCGCCGCAGCCCGAGTGGCCCCCACCCTTGCTGGTCGCCTCTTTCAGGGCCTTCTCAGACCCACCCTCCCTGGCTTTCCATCCACTCCCAGGCCTCCTGCACACGAGAGTGTCCCCTCTGGGCAGTGTCTGTGCCCACTGCAGTCCAGAACCTGCCCCATCCTCCGCCAAGCCCACCCCTAACCCCAGTACTCCTGGGACGTGTCCTTATCTCACGGATCCCGACACCTACGTGGTCTGGCAATACAGTTCAAACAAGCTTATTCCACCAAGACGGACACTCCCAAGCCCTCACCTCTAGTTCTGGAGTCAAGTGCTATCACCCCGGGCCGAGTCCCATACTCCGTGACCTGTTGCCACCCTAGCCCTCACGCCACATCCCATCTTCACAGAGGCTTCTGGATTCCAGCCTCACAACATTGTATCAGATATCCCCCCTTTTCTTCTTCCACCTGCATGCAAGTATTCGTGACAGCCCCACTGGATGACCTTATAAGCCCATGCATTTGCCTCCCTGTCAAGTCTCTTTCTGCTCCGTTTGCCTTACACAAATTTGCAAAATGGATCCCTCTAAGGGGCAGCTATGGTTATTTTACATTTCACCAATTCTTCAGTGATTCATGAATTAAATAATCATTAGTTTACTACCAGGCATAGTGGCTCACAGCTGTCACCCCAGCAGCTTGGGAAGCCAATGTTGAGGACAGCTTGAGCCCAGGAGCTCATGATCAGCCTAGGCAACACAGCAAGAACCTGTCTCAAAAAAAAAAAAAAAAAAAATCCATTATCCCTCAGAAATACAATCAAGGCAAGTTTACCTTGTTATAAAATACTTGCTTTTCTCTATTTGTACGGAGTGCTCTCCTAAAGCACAGACTGGCAGAATTAACAAATTACGACACCAATGGTAGATACTAGATAAGGACTGATGTGGAATACAACTAGGTTTGACTGACTATCAGAATTCTTAACTTTAATTGTTTTAGGGCTAAGTGAAACTTTAAGTTCTTTAACTAAAAACTCCCTGGTCTGGATGCTGCCCTTCAGCCAGCACTCAGGACAGCAGATTCCAGCCCGTGCCGTGTGACAAAAACATCACAGACGTATGTAACAGTGCCACACACTCATCAACTCAGGCCATGAGGCAGGAACATCCCAGGACGTCACCTAGCACAGCAATGCCCAGAATAATCTCATGACCATTGCTCTATCTCAACTTATTCAAATTCTGGTCAATACTGATTACTTCTTATCAATATTAGATGCACATGGAATGAGCACATTGCCTTCAAACACCACTCCCTTTGAAGTATTGGCTGTACTGCCCATGGAAACGTAGCACCTATCAGATCACTACTGAGCTTTTACACTAGCTCATAAGGCTGTTTGATTCATCTCTGTCTACTCCACTAGACCAAGTTTTCACAGACCTGGGGCCGTCTTCTTTGAAAGACACAAAAGTGGAAAGACACACCGGTGCTGCTGAACAGGAAGACTCACCATCATAAAGATGTCCATTCTCACCAAGTTAAGAGGTGACACAATCTCGTACAAATGCCACCATCCCCCGACTCCTACGCAAACTGCTTAACCCTTTGCACTCAGAGACACCTCGTGGGTCATTTACCAGCAACTCGAGTCCCCTTTTTTTTACATAAAGGGAAAAGTACATCACTTCCTATTAAACGGTAAAGCACCGGAACCAATTGTTTTACTGTAATGATGTTTCACTGATAACGGAATTTTGCACATTGAGGAACTTATTCATGACACAAATATCAAAATTCCATATCTTACATCTAGAACAAGTGGTAACCTGTGAAACAGTCACCGACATGCCTCGCTACCAGCTGTGCAATGGGAGTTTGCTGGACATCTTCCACTTGGTGCTTTTCTATTTGAGCAGACGATACAGACTTGTTTTCTCCCTCTCACATTAACAACATGTGAACTGTCCAGTCTGCTGTTTGAAGACGATGTGGAAGGACATTTTCTTTGTACGCAGCACCAGCTGACTTTTTTTTTACTTATCTCTCAGACATATTCCAGTTCTTCATTTGCTTTTTCGTGCAATTTGAAGAGAAAATTTAAGCAAACATATATTTTTTAAAAATCTGCGCTGGCATAATGTCCCCAAGAGGGACATCTGTGTGCAAAGACTAAGATTCACTTGGAAGAATCATAAAACAAGAAGAAAACTGGTTAATTAAAAAGAAAAAAGGAGCAAGGCTGCCTCTGTCAGATTTAAGAGCATCCTATAAAGTTTTATAATTAAGAGTGTGGTTAAAAAAAAAAAGGGGTGATGCTAGCTTATGGTTAGATGGATCAATGGAATAGAAAATACAAAGAGACCCAAATGCTTGGAAAATTTTATGGAAATTGCTTTGTAACATTACAAGCGAATATAATCCAAATGGATAATAATGAAATTATTTTTAAAAAGATACATTTCCACATCTTAGAAATGTAAATGCTATTGCAGGATTTCATACTTAGAACAATGCTGTATCACGTTTCACTGCTCTGCACTCTACTTTCCTGCATTCATGGCCATTTCTAAGGATCTTGCTTGGTTTCCAAATTAGAACTGTTCTGCAGCGATGCTGCGATTATTCAGAAAACAACCCTTGCATAGAATGCAGTTTACAATGACAAAAGCAATTCACAGCACAGAAGCACAGTGCACCACCTTTTAAACTCTAGTACTGAATAAGCTCTTTTAAAATTCTTTCAGAAAAAGACAATCGTGATAAATAATGGAACTGGCTGTTACATAAAGCAAATACATACTCTTTTGTGAATATCCCCCGCGGGCCTGTAGCTGTGCCCTGGCTGGCATCCAGCGCATGTTTTTCCAGAAGGTTGCGGGCAGCTGGACTTAAGCGGAACCTAAGAAGAAAATATGAAAGTCAATAGAATCTGTCAACACTTACATTTCCAGTAGATATAAATGTCAACAGTTTTGCTAATCATTACAAAGTCAAATCTTATAATAAAGCTAAAATGCTCTCACTGATGGTCACAGTCAAATATGTTAATCCACAGCCATCCGGTTTATTTCATTCTCAAAGCATTTTCATAGCAATGTACCTAATTACTATCTCAAAATATCCTTCCAGTAAGCCTAAGTGCCCACGAGGGGACAGAGCTTCCATCCCCACTGGTTCCTCCCACGGTCCCTCAGCACATACATCAGTAAGGACTGGTGACACTGTGACTTCACGCATTTTTCACTGTGGCAAACCACACAGAAAGGTCGTCATTTTAAGCATCCTATAAAATGTTATAATTAAGAGTATGGTAACAAAAGTGTGGTGCGAACTCATGGTTAGATGGGTTAGTGTACCAGGCATAGAGATGAGCAGCATAAAGTACAATCCCATCTGGGCACCGCACACCAGTATCTCCAGAAGGTTCTCGCCTTCTCCCTCCCAGCTCGGCACAGGGCTCTGCTCCCACTTCTCCTATCCCACAGCTCTGGAGACTCCCCATGATGGAACCACAGTGTCGTCTTTGATGCCCACCCGATTTTACTCAGCACAGTACCTTCAAGGTTCGTCCACATGGCATGTATCAGAATTCCCTTCTTTGTAAGGCTAAATGCATTCCATTGCGTGTGCAGTATGTGAATACACGAGACGTTTCTACTGCCTTGCTCCTGGGAATTATGCTGCTGTGAACACTGATGCACACCTCTCTTGCCTGGTCTCTGCTTTTAGTTCTTCTGTATACGTGTCCAATTCTGATTTTCTGAGGAACTGCCACACTTTCCCACAGCTGCACCATTTTCCATTCCCACCCACATGCACATGAGTTCCAGTCTCTCCAGCTCTCACCAAAGCTTGCTGTACTCTGGTTTTTTCCCCCCAATAGTAGCTATCCTGATGGTGTGAAGCGGTGTCTCACTGTGGCCGTGACCTGTGTTTCCCTGCTGTTCAGTGATGCTGAACCTCTTTCTCAAGTGTCTGCTGGACATCTACTTACTTTCTTGGGAGAAACGTCTATTTAGGTTCTTGCCCATTTTTTAACTGGGTTGTTTGTTTTGTGGAGGTTGGACTGTATCTTTCACATATATTTTTTAAAGAGCTCGGCATTTACCTAAAAGCACTTTTACTCTGCATAAACTCCAGAATAGCAGTGCCCGACCTTTGTGGCATCAGGCAATGACAATTTTTCCACAGACACGGGGGCTGGGAGGGACCACCAAGCATTAGATTATCATAAGGAGCCGACATCTAGATACCTGGCATGCGCGGTTCACAATAGGGCTCATGCTCCCATGAGAATCTAATGCCACCACTGATCTGACCAGAGGCGGAGCTCCGCTCACCTGCCGCTCCTCTCCTGCTGTGTGGCCTGGCTCCTAACAGGCCACGAACCGGCATCAGGGATTGGGACCTCTGCTCCAGAATGAGAGGCATAAACAACTGCATGGATTTCAAGGCAGTTGATGTAAACTGTTACATACCCAAGGTCACATGACTGGTCGTAGCTCTCCTTCATAAGACCATTAAGCAAAGCAGTCAGATAGAGAAATTAAACCAGATAGGGACAGAGTACAACAGATGGGGTCTAGAAGTCTAACGCGAGGAAATGGAGAACAGCCATGGTACTGGCTGCATCTCAGAAGCGGGCCAGCGTTAGCAATTCTTTCCACTTGTCAACAGAAACTGAAGTTTTAGGTTTCTAAAAAACTGAAAGATTTCTGAAAACCAAAGATTAACTAGCAACCAACTGATTCAAAATAATTTTAAAAAAAGAAGTCACCGCGTGGGCCGACAGTACACCTGGCTCACAGGCCAGTGGATTTTTGTTTTTTTTAAAGCCTCTCCTGCTGGGCTTGGTGGCTCAAAAACAAAACAAAACACAACAAAACAAAACCTCTCCCTTCTGATCAATACCCTCTAATGGGCCAGTGGGTTTTTAACCTACACGGAGGGGCCTCAGGTTCAAGTGAGTCTCTGATGACGACCAGCCCAGTGGGACCGGGGTCTACACAACACTGGGAACTCTGTGAGGAGAGAAGGTCATTAACTGAGACCATCTTCTGATGTTCAGGGTGAGGAAGGAATTTAGTCAAGGACAGTGAGGGCAATGGAGTCAGAAATGCCTTGCAAAGGGAATTTAAAGTCAGGATTTCAAAACATCCTGTGCATTCCTTTCTGACAAAACTGACAACAGTAAGCAAAAAAGCACTTAAGAATGAAAGATCTGCTTTTCTCTGTGAAAAATTTCTCTTACAAAGAAGTAGTAATTTTTTTTATCAGTATCAAGAATACTCGAATCAATACAACTCAGTTCATCAACTAGAGCCATGTAAGGCCAAAGTGAAGCCTGTTTGTGGCATGTCTGTGTGGCAACAGAACACTGGACAAACTTGAGCTCTAGCCTGTGTCAGAAGCTCTAATACAGAGCAGTCTGGAAAGGAACACATGTTAACACGCAACCCATCCGGTTATACTTTCGGAACAAAAATTCATGCAGCAGTAAGTAGGAGCACAAATGGAAACCACATGAAGTCTGGTATGCTGACTTCCACCCTGGTATCCTAGACCCGATCACAGCTCTGCATGGACAGGCCGGTGGTGCTCACCACCACTTGAGCAAGCAGTGCTTTTGGAGCACCTATGACATAACAAGAGTCCAGAAACTATTTGCCGTGGTGGGAGAAACACTCTGAGGCCCGAGTGCGCTAAGATCAGCAACTTCCCACTTATGTACGAACACATCTGGATGTGACAGTGATCAAAATACCCCAAGAGAGACCATGATGACTATTTTGACTATTTCCATTTGAATCAACACTCACTGCAGTGTCCTGGGTATGTGTTCCTTCTTGACAGGGACAGAAGTCTGTGGTTCTGGGGAGGGACAAGGCACGGACGGTGCTGAGGCTGGCGGTGGGGGACCGACATCTTTGGGAATCTCCACATGTTTCCAATCTCCTCCTTCTTCAACCATCAGACCAATCAGTGAACCGAGCCGTATGTTCTTAGTTCCTTCTTCAACCTGCATTTTAAAAAGAAATAACTGAGAGATGGAAAGGGTCGTGACGGCAGGAGGTGGTTTATTCCTCTGCCGGGCAGTTCTCTTAATTGAGCTAAGAGCCATTTCCAAGATGCATATGCCTGCTTTTCCATCTGCCCCCTTCCTCCACTCACGCCTCCCATCACACTCCCCGGCCCGGTTACAAATGCTCTCCCAAATAAAGGACAAATCTAGACTCCTCCTCCTGATGGCCTTCAGGTGGAAGTGCTGCCATCACCATCTTCCCCCTGTCCATAAACACAAATCCCAAACAGGAGACTGTGGTGACAAGTCTCAACTGTATGTCTTTCCCAGTTTCTATCCGATGGCCTGGAAATTCTAAGAACTCCCAAGGGATTAACTCCCCCAACTTAGTCCTAGCTACTGAAATTAACTTACAGCATAATCTTAGTCTCTGGATAAAAAGAACGCTCCACTGTACAGAGAGAACTAGTTAACTATTCTCGTTAACGTGAGGTACAGTTTACTTCTTTCTCCATATTTTATTCTCCCCCTGAGTACCTATTTACAAAACCTGAGAAATAACACAAAACCTCATGAGTTTTTCCACAAGTGCATCAGAAGTATGGTGGTGGCTCAGCTAACCAACTTTTTTTAAACAGATAATACCAATCAAAACCCTAAATAAGACAAAAGATAAATTTTTGATTAAGAAAGATGTACTTTAAGCATTTCAGCATTTATTTAAAAGGCTGATTCAAATTCACTTACTGAAAAGAAGTCTCTAGAAAACCTTCAGATAATGATATTTTATAAGTTCAGTAATGGAAGAAAATGTCATTGCTTTAAGGTTTTCTATTATTCCCTTTCAGTGACTCTCCATAAGGTTCACTGCAGATGTACTGAATGAATAACGGAACAACAGACTGCAGGACACTCACTGAGACAGCGATTACAGGGAAGAGCCTTGTCCAAGAGTGAGGGGGGGCATGCTGGAGCAACACCGACTCTGATGCTTATTAGTACATGGCCTTTCTTTTTGAGTTGGCGTCTCACTCTGTCACCCAGGCTGAAGTGCAGGGGCACGGTCATGGCCACTGCAGCCTCGATATGCTGGGCTCAGAGGATCCTTCTGCCTCAGCCTTCTAAGTAGCTGGAACTACAGGCATGCACCACCATACCCAGCAAATTTTTTGATTTGCTGTAGAGACGAGGTCCTTGCCAAGTTGCCCAGGCTGGTCTCGAACCCCTGGGCTCAGGCAATCCTCTTACCTCTGCCTCTCAAAGTGCTGGGATGACAGGCATGAGCCACTATACCTGGCTCGTGCACAACTCTTAAAATCAAATGGCGTAGCAAACTGAGGGCCAGGAGGTGGGTCTAAGTTTACTGGTTACTGAGGGAGAAGAACAAGAGCGACACTCTGGTGGAGCAAAATATTCATAAGAAGTAGGCACAGAAAACCAAGCAAGAACGTCTAGCCAAGCACAAGCTGTGGAAAAAGACTAACACAGCTCAAAAGAAGGCAGGTGCTTACTTGTGTGCCACATGCTAGAAAGTCTTATTTCTGGGGACTGTCTATTTTTCTATGTCCAAAGTGGAGTTAAGATTATTATTAAGCTAACGTTTATTTCTTCCTCTGGAAGTGTTTAATTATCTACCTACAAACAGCTAATTCAAAAATCACAAAGTAAAATGATAAATTTTCTTTAAAAACGGATAGAAAAATAGCTTCATTAAGTGGTATGAAGTCCCTGAACCAGAAATAGGACTGCTATCCAAGCACAGAGCACACCATTCAAATGCAAAACTTCTTTAAAAAAGTTAAAAAAAAAAAATCAATGGGTTTCTAAAATCAGAGTCAAACACTGTGCTAAACTAAAGCTGACCCCGCCACTGTCTCACTCACGTAAACCACACAAGGGACTCCATGCATCCTCCACAAGTGTGACCCGACACCTCCCAGGAGGCGGCCAAGAGAAGTTACCGGCACTCCGGCTGCTACCGTATCTAAACAGCACACTTATAGCTTTCCACTCAAAGAGGGCTCCAAGAAGCATGAAACCCAGACACAATGGACAAGGACAGGTGACATCACACAGCTTGAGTAGTGACAGAAGTAGCATCGACCGTAATTCCATCCAGACCACCACGTGAGTCAGAGGTAATCTGGCTTTTCCATTCAGTTTAGAAGTGTGCTGGTCCCCCACGGACATCTGTGGCAGACATTCAAAACTGGTGCAGACTCAGTTGTAGGCCAGAGGCCCGCAAGCCACTGCCACTGCTCCTGCGGTCTGGGTGACCCTGAACGCCCGGTGCCTGCTCCTCTAAAGAACCAGGCAGAGGACAACCCCAGAAAGCACCCCCATCACTTAGCTCCCTTGATCCAAGCCCTCCCTCACTCTTGTGTGCTGACTTCTGAATGTTAAGTGCAGAGTTTCTACAATGAGCATTGTTAACGTACAGCTCATCAATGCTAATATTTAACCTTGAGTCAGCCTTGGAAGTATTACTGGCCCTCCCTCCCAGTTGCGAGCAGACTTCCTGAGTCTCAATGTTGACTCCACTACCTGCCAACATGTGCCCTTAGTGATGGTTCCTTACTGCACCAGCCTGTGTTTCCTGATTGTCGATGCAAGCACCAATGGTAGTCATTTCAGAGCCATCATGAGGAATGAATGAATTCTGTGTGTGACCCTTAGAATAGTGGCCGACAGCCAGCAGCTGCCATATAAATATCAAATGTGTCATTATGGTGGTTACTGCTGTCCTGGTGTGTTCCTTCAAGTGACTGATTTTTAAAACAACAACAAAAAAACCACTCAACAAAGATCAAGTTTGACTACTGGGGGTGCCCCCTGGTAAGGTTTGGAGACTCATGCTGAGGCCTGGTCTGTGGCTGGCAGCATTCAGGGTAAACAGACGCATTCAGGACTACTGGAGGTCAGGTTCCTGACAAGCAACTCCTGAGACTCCTCAGAGCTGGACTCCGCCCTTGGCCCGGGTCCCTAGCAAGGGCCTCCTTACAGAGCCACTCCCACAGGCTGACCATGAACATCCTGCCAAGGTGCTAACCACAGCCACCTTGCTCACCCTGTCCCAAGGACAGGAGATGCTCCAGGCAAGACACAAGGCACCTGCAGCAGCAGGTCCCAACCCACCAAGGGCGCCAGTCAACTGTGCTGGCTTTCGCTGATAGGACACAAAACGCAAGCACTGTAACACACCTCGCACTCCTCTCCCCCTCAAAAATGTGCCAGGGTGTATGACAAATTATACAGCAACCCCAGCAGGAGGGGCATAGATGGGCACTTCAGTCCCACCACCACCGACCAGTACAAGTGAGTAGGCAACACACAGACAGGTTCGGGGTTAGCAGTCACTGCGAGCCGAGAGAACAGATCAACGCTGGAAAAGCAGCCTGCGAGGGGCGCATGGTGGTCATGGGTCCTGGGACAAGCGGCACACACCTGTCCCCTAGTCCCCCCTGCCCCAGGCACCATGATCCCCCATCTGAGCACAAAAAAACAGGCAGAGGTGAGAGAATCTGCTAGTGCTCGTATGGCAGAGAGCCAGCTGAACCATGCAGCTGTGAAAATCCACAGCAGGGGACTACAGGGCCCCCAGTCTCAGCTGCTTTCCACCCAACCTCAACAGTGTTCGAGAAGTCAAGCAACAAACATGCCAGCTGGCTCCATCAGTGAGTGTACCACGGACCCTAAAAGGTCACACTTTTACCATATGTAGCTTTACACAATTTACTCACTTTTCACACAAAGACTCCATGATAAAAAGAACATACACATTACAGAAAATGTAGAAAAGACAGAAAAATGGTCTATTGTACCTTAACACTAAAACATTTTAAACACTTGAACAAAATGTATTATGCAGTAGAGAATACAACATCATAAATAAAGAGATAAAAGTAAAAGGAAACTCTATTTCAAGGAACAATTAAGAAAGTTTCACCTGTTTGAAAACACTCACCACGATTTTGGCCAAGATGCCATCATCACTGGCATCCAAGGTAACCACGGCCTTGTCAGTCTCAATTTCACACAAGGCATCGCCAGCACTCACGGCTTCACCTGCAAAACAAGACTGGGTTGGTTCTGGTTTTTAGACTATGAACATGAGTATGTGCACATGCATATGTGTACAAACATGAGTAAATACCAAAACCTTCTGCAGCTATTTCTGGGTTTGGGAAGTACAAGTAATTCTCACTGTGTGTCTGTGTTTGTGTGTATGCGTATGCTCTGCTGCGTTTTCCAAAAGCTCCATATGGACATAAATTTTACTTGTTATATTAAAAAAGCTATGACTAAGGGCGCCGAGCAAATGTTAAAAGTGAAAGCACACTTTAGAGACAAGTGCATATTCACCTCTGAACAAATCAATTCCAGGCCCACATTCCCCTCTCACACTCTCTGGCCATTTTTCCATGAAGAGAAGTTTTAAAATTAACAGTATTTCAGGGCTAACACCTCACGGCAAGTCCAGAACTCTGTTGGTACTGCATAGCATGAACAGACAAAGGTTCATATAAAGTACAAGAAGGGAAGCTCAAAGACACAGCTGAGGTCAGACGAGGATGGGCTCTGTGCAACAGAACAGATCTGAAAGCTCACAAATGCCAAGCAAGGCCCGCAGTGTCTGCAGTAGAGCTGCTTCCAGGTTCTAGAGGTAGGCTGGGGAAGAGGAGAAGGTGGTTCCTCTGGGGAGTAACGGGAACGGTAAGTCGTCAGTTGGACAGAGGGGACTCGTGGCAGATTCACATCTGATGCCCTGGCTGAGTTGGGCTTGTGCTCACCACCAGCTGATAAAATGGGCAACCAAGCTGACTGAGGCTGTGGCTCTCATCAGAAACCGGGGTCTTGGACAAAAGCAAACTCACTACCAGGGCAGAGCCATGCCCGCCGCCCCCAGTATCTGCCCACACCCCCAACATCAACAGCAGAGTATTAAGGAGGGGGGACGGGTAGGTGGGAAGACGTCATTCAAAAGTGACTTCCCAAAGTGCTGAAAACATGAAGAAATCTAACACTAAGAAGTAAGCCACCAATTTACTGAGTGCAACCTGTCAACAGTTGTAAAATACCTTGAGGATGTTCAAAAACATAAATGAAAGTAAAAGAACCATCAAAAGAAGGAGGAATAAGAAAATGATTATGTACAGATATGAAACAAGATAGCATTGGGTGAAAGTGAAAAGCTAATCAGAATTCTTAAAAATGAAAAATTAAGTCATTGAAATAAAAAAGAACCCATCAGTGGAACGTCTTCTAGATAGGACACAGTGAGAGAGTGAATGAGTGAGTTATGAGGCCACATAAGCAAATGCCCAACTCCACACGCCAGAGGTGCAAGAGTAGGCAAGAGCGGCAGGTGACCTTGGCAGGCGTGAGGTGGGCCAAGGAGTGCGAGGGAAGGGGCTGGCGGGCGTGGCGCAGAGCAGCACCTCCCACCAGGAGAGGGCTCCGAGTGGTCTAGGACGGGCATGTCTACAGGAGCGGGGCGTGCGAGCCCTGCAGCCTGGGGGAGTATTCTAGGCTCTGACGGAGGTGGTGGCAACACAGACAGCATCTGGAATTGGGCTGAGTTTATACCTCATGCAAATTATACCTGATAAAAAATGAAGCCTGTTGGGAGCCAACATCTATAGCTACATGGCTGAGGCCTGTAAAGGCCCATCTGGAAGATCGCCTCTGACATAGGACATAGCATCCTCTGACATAGGATAGCATGTGATTAGTGACCAGTGTGTATACATGGCAGTAAAACTTATAAGTAAATATCAATATGCCTGATGGAAAGTGCATAGCAGAATTATTTTTCTCTGTCTTTCTAAGTTTTACTTCTTTCTAGATATTTTTTAACTTCTATTTCCTGGTAGACTGGTTAGTTAGCTCTTGTTCCCCAAAGGCAGTTTCTCCTAGGATTAAGATTAGAAACTAAATTATCATAATAGTTTTATTGCCCTGCCCCTAGCCAGGCAGGAAGTTTTTCTAGTTTCGTTACATGCCGAAACTCTGTTTGCTTCAGCCCGTGGTCATTGTCATGGTAACCGTGCAGACCATTATCCAAGAGTGTGACAGCTACTATTTGATTTTTAGAATAGACTTGTTTGGATAAAACATACATTTAAACGATACAATTTCCATCGAAAAGATTTAAACAGTAATAAGCATTCATAGAAAACTTTTAAGTTTTGTTTGAGTTTTTAAGTTTCCTTTTCTCAGATTATGACTTTAGTTCCTATTCCTGTAGGCCAATTTTAAGATCCTTTGATTAGTATACCAAAACTTTCCCAACGGTGCTGTTTTTGCTTCTAATATGACAATAGGAAATTTTACACGTAGCCATGTATTAATGTACTAGGAAAAAAGATTTAAGTTTTGGGTTAAAGTCGTCGTTTTATTAGAATAGAATGAGAATTATGGTGTTATGATTTTTAAAATCATACGTTAATGGTAATCATAAGATTTAATGATAAGGTATTAGCTTAATAGGATATAGCATAGTATTAAAGTCCAATCACTAGATCATATAATAATTAAAGTTTAGACATATGAAACTCACATGAATTATAGTAAAGTTTGGTAGTTTAAGAATAAGTTTTAACTGAGTTATAAGGCATTACGTTAAATCGTAATAGGATAATAGTATAACTAACAGCTAAGTCACTTAAGTAAACTTATAGATTATAGTATAGTGTTAAGTTGATAATATTAATCGTTAAAAATATTTGGAGTCAGTGACCTTGGATTGAACCTAGAGTTAACTTAGAAAGTTTTTGTATTAATCAGGGTTTAGAACAAAGAGTATAATATGAATGATTTATTGAACATTACAGAAAACACTTTGAATGATTTGTATTGAAATTGTGCACCTGTGACCTTAATGTAAGCACGACAGACATCATGGAGTTCGAATTGTCTGTTTGGAACTTGCAAGTCTCGTGATGGTCTTGTGATGCATGGTTTGTAAAGCACGGAACTTGTACGCCCCTAGTAAGTGATTATCACACTGCTGGAGGGTATAGAAAATGGTATATGAGTTGGAAAAGGTTTGAATAAAATTGGCTTCAGTCCTGATCAGACTGTTCCCAGAAGAACTGCCTCTGAGTGGTCTCTTCTTGCTGTCCAGATTCTCTGGTGCGGGTCCTAACCCACCCTTGGTCAGTGCTGGTCACCGACAGAAGCCGGAAACAGTATCAGACTGTACAAACACAAATCCATATCGGACACACTGCAGAGAAAATGCACAGTCTTAGCAACAGAAGCACAACCTTAAGAGCTCTGAGGAAAAGAACAGACACCTCAAGGGAACGACGACAGAGCACACTTCCCAGGAACTGCAACAAAGGCCAGGAAACAGGGGAGTTACAGTTTCAATGAGCTGGGGAAGTCACTGTCTAGAACCTTATATGCAGCCAGGCCTTATTCCAAAGGGAGGAGGAGTATTCTTTGGACATACAAAAGCTAAGAAAATGTGCCCCAAATGAAGATGCTTCAGAAAGTTCTCACAGCTGGGCATGGTGGCTCAGTCTGCAATGCCAGCACTTTGGGAGGCCGAGGTGAAAGGATTGCCTAAGCCTGTGGGTCCGAGACCAGCCCAGGCAACATGGTAAGACCTCATCTCTGAGAAAAATTAGCTGGTCAAATATCTATAATTCCACACACCAATTTAAAATTTGGCTATAATACCAATGTTAGCAATAAATGTAAAGAAGCATAATGACAGAGAGCAATTCGGTAATAAAAGGAACAAACTGCCAACTGCTGCTGCAGCAGGGGAGCCTCAGTCAGGCTCAGTGGGAGAACCTGGTTGCCACACACCACACGTCCCCGGGAAGGACCATCCGCATAAAACCCGTCAAAGGCACAGCCTCGGCACAGAGGCAGGTCAGAGCCACCCGGGCTAACAGGGAGAAGAAGGAGCTGCAGGCAGACATCAGGGCTCTTTTTGGGGGTGACAGAAATGTTCTAAAATTGGACTGGGGTGATGGTTGCACGACTCTATACATATGCTAAAAGCCGCTGAACTGTATACTCAAAACAAGCACATGCTATGGTGTGTACTGTCCTAATAGACTCTGGCGTGACCATGTATTCTTTGAGCTATGGCTGTCACCATGTTTCCTAAGCTTTGGCCCCCTCCCCCCCCTTGGGAAGGTGAATCTCCTCTCTTTCTCTCTAATTTATTTTCTAAATAAACTATATTTTCTAATCTAAAAAAAAAAATTACACCCCATTGAAGCTGTTGAGACACTTGTACACCAACACGTCACACACTACTTGTGGAACATTTTCTGTCTTAGCAGCACATACACCGTAACCCATGGTGATGACATGTTCCAGCAGAGGCAGAACCAGAGGACACGGGGCACGCAGGACCAGGGACACGGGGTCAGGTCCTTCCATGCAGGACCAGGGACACGGGGCTCTATGGGCACCTGCAGAGCGGGGCATCGCTCTGCCAAGCAGTTCTGCCTCTGCACCTTGAACAATGACAGGCTGTGGTCAGGGCAGGCTACAACTTTCACAGAAACTACTAGACATGGAGCACACTCAGAGAATGACAAGTCCGAGGGAGCCGGGGCCACAGCCACGTGTAAGTACTCGGACCATGGGCTCCAGGTGCTGGTGGCTGCCACACCCCAGAGTGGTGCGGTCTGGGGTGCCCACAGGGCTTCCCAGCAGAGCAGACAATCTTAAGTACGTCAAGGAAAAAGCGATGTTTCCATACCCTCAAATATTCTCACACAACAGGGAAATAAGAATATTTTCTTCCTTTTTAAAAACAGGTTTGACCTTTCAACTGACTAAAAAAAAAAAAAAAAAAGTACATCGTTTAATTAAACTGAAAACATCTGAAGCACGTTTCCCCCAAACTAAAAAACTTGCAATAAAGATGTAGACCTGGGCGCGCCTTCCAAAGATGCTGAGACTGTGGCTGTCACCCAGCACCACCAGTGTCTCTCCGCTCATCAATGACGTGGACTTTTTGTCCAATCCCGAGACTGAGATGAAATATGCTAATACACACTATAAAACCAGCCCTCTGAGACTCATTAGTTCAACAA